GGGGGGGCGGGGCGGCCTCTCTCTCCCAGGTAGCGGCTTGGCTACGGTGGTGGCGCCCCTCCTCCGGCCGGCCGGCCGGCCCGGCTCGGCAGGAAGGACGCCTTTGGACTTCGGAGCGCGCCCACTTTCGCAGCTTCTCAAAAACCAAGAGGAGCGACCGGTTGAACCTGACGCGACCGCGGGGCCAGGAGGGGCGGACAGACGCCGGCAGTGGCCGAGGCTCTCTGGAAGGTCGACCGAGTGGCCTCAAGGTGCAAGCGGCGGGGCGAAATGACGGCCGCCTGAAAGTGTTGGGTTTTGCAGACTTGGGGAGGGGGGGCGTTAACAGGCAGAGAGAAATCCCTCCCCTCCCCACACACTTTTAAGTTCAGGTCCGGCTCAAGACATTTTGTAGCCAGAGATGGAGCCCCAAATACCCCCCCCCAAAACCCGGTCAAAGTGCGTATCAACCAAAGCCACCCAAGTTGCTTTGGTACCTGAGGCAGAAGACTCAGCAAGTGCGTCTCCCCTACCCTGGAAGAAAGATGCTACAATCATTTTATATATTTTTCAATGATATAACTTTTGTTTTCAGTCCTTTCATGACACCGGCACCTCTACGTGAGGCAGCCACTTCTTGTTGTTTAGTGGTTAAGTCGTGTCCAACTCTTCGTGACCCCATGGACCAGAGCATGCCAGGCCCTCCTGTCTTCCACTGCCTCCCAGAGTTGGGTTAAATTCATGTTGGTCGCTTCGATGACACTGTCCAACCATCTCGTCCTCTGTCCTCCCCTTCTTTTGCCCTCACACTTTTCCAACATCGGGGTCTTTTCCATGGAATCTTCTCTTCTCCTGAGATGGCCAAAGAATTGAAGCCCCAGCTTCAGGAGCTGTCCTTCCGGTGAGCACTCAGGGTTGATTTCCTTCAAAATGGATACTGTAGGTTTGTTCTCCTTGCAGTCCAGGGGACGCTCAAGAGTCTCCTCCAGCACCACAATTCAAAAGTATCAATTCTTCGGCGGTCAGCCTTCTTTATGGTCCAGCTCTTGCTTCCATACATCGCTACTGGAAAAACCATAGCTTTGACTATGCGGACCTTTGTCAGCAAGGCGATATCTCTGCTTTTTAAGATGCTGTCTCAGTTTGTCATTGCTTTCCTCCCAAGTAACAGGAGTCTTTTAATTTTGTGGCTGCTGTCACCATCTGCAGTGATCATGGACCTCAAGAAAGTAAAATCTGTCACTGCCTCCATATCTTCCCCCTCTATTTGCCAGGGGGTGATGGGACAAGTGGCCATGATCTTGGGGTTTTTTTGATGTTGAGCTTCAGATCATTTTTGGTGCTCTCCTCTTTCACTCTCATTACAAGGTTCTTTAATTCCTCCTCATTTTCTGCCATCAGAGTGGTGTCATCTGCATATCAGAGGTTGTTGATATTTCTTCCGGCCATCTTAATTCCGTTTTGGGATTCCTCCAATCCAGCCTTCTGCATGATGTATTCTGCATATAAGTTAAATAAGCCGGAGGACAATATACAGCCTTGTCGTACTCCTTTCCCAATTTTGAACCAGTCAGTTGTTCCATATCCAGTTCTAACTGTTGCTTCCTGTCCTACATATAGGTTTCTCAGGAGATAGACAAGGTGGTCAGGCACTCCCATTTCTTTAAGGACTTGCCATAGTTTGCTGTGGTCCATACAGTCAAAGGCCTTTGCATAGTCAATGAAGCAGAAGTAGATATTTTTCTGGAACTCTGTGGCTTTCTCCATAAGCCAGTGCATGTTATCAATTTGGTCCCTAGTTCCTCTGCCCCTTCAAAATCCAGCTTGTACTTCTGGAAGTTCTCCGACCGCAAACTGCTGAGGCAATCACTACACTGTGCCTAATAATAAAGATGGCTCCACTCTGTAAAATAATTTTAATCCAGATTTGCCGACTTGGGAAGTAGACCTCAGATGTTGAAGTACTGTACTTCATATGCTATGATGCCCAATCATTGGTGGTGTATGCTGGAGCGAGCAACAACGTATGAGAGCTGGAGAGTTGGAAGGAAGCCTGTAGACCAGTGATTCCCGACCTTCCCAATAATTTCCATAAATGTATTCTTGAAGGCTTTCATGGCTGGCTTGTGATGGTTAGTATAAGGGTGATGAAAAGAAGATGGTTAAGAGGTAAAAGAGACAACATTGGAGTGAGAGTGGAAGTGAGTTGATAAACAGGACAAAGATGGGTACATTTACCAAACAAAATCTGTTGGTCTTCAAGGTGCCAAAAGATTTTTCTCTTGTTGTTTACAGAAGATACACTTGTCCAGGAGGCCAAGGCAAAGAGGCAGTCCCGAAACCAGCAAAGTCAGGGAGCTGGACAGGGGACAGATTGTCTTCAGTGTGGAAGGGATTATCACTCTCGAATTGGCCTTCTCAGCCACACTAGACGCTGTTCCGAGTTCTCTATTCAGAGCACGTTACCATAGTCTCTTGAGACTGAAGGATGCCTAATTTGTATTCCTGCATCGAGGAGGGAGTTGGACTTGATGGTCTTATAGGCCCCTTCTGACTTCACTATTCTACGTGAACAATTGCTGATGCAGTAGCATGGTGCAAAATTGCTGCTCCAAAACACGAATCTGCATTGTTCCTGCATGAAGACTAGAATGAAACCACAATCTAATTACATCTCACACCCACGCCAACAAACCACTCCATAAAAATCCTCAGGAAGTTAGATCCATTAGTTTCTTACTGTAAACAACAAGAGAAAAATCTTTTGGTACCTTAAAGACCAACACATTTTGTTTGGTACTAGTAAATGTACCCATCTTTGTCCTGTTTATCAACTCACTTCCACTCTCACTCCAATGTTGTCTCTTTTACCTCTTAACCATCATTTTCTTTTCATCACCCTTGTACTAATTCAGCTTGTACAAGTTTGGAAAAATAATCCAGTAAATGCCTATAATCAGGCAGCCTAGAAACAATTTACTAGTTGGTCCAAACGAGGATCTAATAATTAATAACGATGTGCTGTCAAACTGATTCTGATAAATGACCAGTCCTTCCTAGGTTTCCTAGACATAAAATACCCAGGAGTGGGTTACCACTCCCTTCTTCTGAGAGTGTTCTGGAAGTGTGTGGCTTGTCCAGAATCCCACAGGCTGGGCACTTCTACAAGGCACAGTGGAGAATCAACATCCCTGAACCTTGACTCATGAGCCTTCTCACTAAGCTATCCATCCTGCAATTGGTGAATTACTAAAAATTATCTGTCATCCAGTTGATTCTGACTTATACTGATCCCTCCTGTCAATACTTAATTTATTGTTATCCTTATGGTTTAATTGTTGTTTATTTTATTTTATTATTCTTGTATGTTGTTAGCCGCCCAGAGTAGACTTTGGTCCAGATGAGCGGGATAGAAATTAAATAAATAAATAAATAAATTATACCCTATCCAGAGTGCTCTAAATATAGAGCTCTGGGATTGAGCAGCTTGCCCAAAACCACACAATCTGGCTCTTCTTCAGAAGGAATTGTGTTGGAATCAAACTCCCAGTCTCTGGCTCTGCTCCTGGTACCCAAGTGGCTGAGCCATCCAGTCAGCAACTGAGAATTTAGGGGAACTAAATATGAGGTGTAACTAACCTGTTATTAACGTCAGGAAATTCCACGCACCAACCCTTTTGGGGATCTTTTTTGCTGTCCTGCTGAAGCACGCCTTTGGAACTGCAACAGAAGGTGTCTGTCTCCGGACTAGATCAGACGGAAAGCTCTTTAATCTCTCCAGATTGAGAGCGAGGACCAAAGTCCAACTGAAATGCATGCGGGACTTCCTCTTTGCAGATGATGCAGCCATTGTTGCCCACTCTGCTGAAGACCTCCAACAACTCATGAATCATTTTAGCAAGGCCTGCCAGGACTTTGGACTAACAATCAGCCTGAAGAAAACACAAGTCATGGGCCAGGGTGTGGATTCACCTCCCTCTATTACCATCTCCACACAAGAATTGGAGGTTAGTCAGGACTTTGTGTACCTTGGCACAACGATCTTGGACACACTCTCCCTAGATGTCAAGCTGGGTAAACACATTGGCTACCATGTTCTCTAGACTCACAAATAGAGTATGGCTCAATAAGAAGCTGAGGGCATATACCAAGATCCAGGTCTATAGAGCCTGCGTCCTGAGCACACTCCTGTACTGCAGTGAGTCCAGCAGGCCGAGGTGGGGAGGTGGTCACAAGGGTGGCAGGGCTGGGGGCTCTGGACAGGGAACAGATAGTGTTTGTCTTCAGTGTGGAAGGGACTGTCGCTCTCGGGTTGGCCTCGGCTGTGCTGGGTGCTGTTCCGGGTCCTCCATGCAGAGCATGTTGCCGTGGTCGGTTGGCCTTCTCGGGTGTGCTGGGTGCTGTTCCGGGTCCTCCGTGCAGAGCATGTTGCCGTGGTCTCTCGAGACTGAAGGATGCCTGAAGTTGAGTGGTTCAGTGGGTGACTGTAATCAATGAGGTAAGAGAAAACTGAACCACAAAAAGTACAAACAGCAGTAATTAACAAACAGGGTCAAAGATCTTTAGTAGTAACACAGCATTCTTGCACGATGAGCTGATTAGCAAATGTAGTGAGAGGGAAAGCCAGAGGAAATAAGAGCTTAACTCAGTCTGTGTCTGGCTATTATGAAATGCAATGCAAGTGCAACATCTAGTGGCCGATGTGTGTCATAGCAAAAGCAGTGCAATCTTGTGTGTCCATTTACTGTATAAGGGGATAGATGCATGTGCTGGCTCATAAGGATGTTCGTCCTTTGATGACTGCAACATCAGGTGATTATGAAAAAGCCATCACAGAACCAGTAGCACACAGAGAAAAAAAATCATTTCTTATGTCACGTCAAATACAATGATCTTCAAAGTAAAGAATCCACACATCAAATGTCACTGAAGAGTTGAGTCATGTATGTATGCATGGAGACCAGCTTTGTCCCTC